AATAGTCCATGTGCGAAGTAATTTTCATGTTAAATTAAAAATACTTTTCCTTATCTCAAATTTCCTTTGTATAATTCCTAAAACCTCCTAAATGTGTATTTTTGCAATAAAACTTTATACTTTATCTGTTATTTTCTCTACCCTATCTCAAAAGGGATCGGTCAATTTGACCAACCTCGTAACCACCAAAAAAAAAATCTAAATTAACCTAAATTACCCTGCTTTTCTTTCTAGAATGACTTCAAATACTTACATGAAACTACATTCGTTTAGCCTATGTAGCTCTATGTTCTTAACAGTATACATCTATTAATAATTAAATTTTTTTGCTTTACTGCCCTTTGAACCGTGTCTAACTACTATCCGCACCATTATAAGTTTTAAATCACTCGGGGAATGTTTTTATTTATATTATTATCTTAAATTGATCTTAAATGAGTTAAAAAGAACTGTATTCTTAAATTTTAGTTACTTTTATAATAACAAATAAAGAACAAATATGAAAAACAAGAAATAAAGTATGTACCCAATCTTCATTTTTTTCGTGCCCTCAACTGTTGACGACAGTTAAGCCTGATTGCTTATAGTAATTATAGTAATGCACTTAATAATTTTTATTTACCTAAATAATGCACCAAATAATATAGACTAATAACATGCAAAAATCAGTCAAATTCCCTTACCTCTCAAAATTTTTCTGGCTTTCTAACTATGCTACAAGAGCCGTTATAAATTCATTTAAGCTAGTCGTTAACTTTCCCATGGGAACAAATCTTGTCCTGTGAGTGAAATTGACAATATTCTGTTCAGAATACAATGTTATACAATACGTCATTTGATAGATGAAAACCGTGACTTTCTATTGGTTATAAGTAATACATAATAAAATGTAAGAGAGAACTATCAATTAATTGTGAAAGAGAGGATGTGACAGGTGGGTGTGGCAGGAGGTGTATGATTTTCTATTCAATAGCTCTGTAACCAAACAAAATTGAAGACTATAAAAATTATGGTTTATCTGAGCAATAACGATTTTATAGAGAGTAATTTATGTTTAATTTCATACCTTTTCAAGGGGTGGTGAATAAAATAGGGATGATGGCATGCTAAGAGAATATGTGTTAAGTGGATCACACTAGTGGAAATTTAGGATTTTTTTTTAATATTGTCTTGTAGAATTAAGAACTTAAAACTTGTATACTATTAAAATATAGATTATTAACTAAGATTTTATGTTATTCTAATTGGTATAACATAAATACAAAGTGGTTTAATAAAATTTTGAATGTAAAACCTTGCAGTAAAGGGTACCCGGGGCATAAGGGTTAATAGAAACATTTTTTATTTGATATTTTCTACAATCCCATTTTAACTGTTTTCTGAATTTTTAAGTTATAAATTGTGAAAAAGAATTTTCAATAAGATGATCACATACCTGCTTGATGTTTGTTGATACAAAGACAAAATATATACAGCAAAATCCGAACTGGGTGAGCATCAAAAATATGTTGACTGTTCTTCTACAGGAATTTATTATTAAAAACACATATATTATTAATCTACAGGCACAGAAATATACTAGAATTCCATACAAATAACACCAAAATATTAAAAAATTAAACATCTTTCAACGAAGTATAGTATCTTCTTTTACTTATACTATGTTTGAAATTATTACGTTCTTTTGTCAAGATCATGCAATAACAAGAAAATTAATTTTGGAGAACAATCAGCAATTATACACTTATCAACAAAATACATTATATCAACCAGATTTAGTAGCATCTTTTAACAAATTTACCATGTGACAGTTTATGAATCTATCATAGGCAGCAGATTTTAGACTGATGTTACTATTAAGGTATATGCAACTCTTCATGAAACTACAAGAAAACAAAACAACCAGAAAAGGTCTTACCTTGCGAATCTACCATACTTCTGTAGTGGTGAAGGTCCAAGTTTAAAGGCATAAAGGGCAACTCTGGAGTAATCAAGAGATTCCCGTCCAAGTCTAGAAAAACAAACCCATCTTAAACAAATGTTCAAATAACTAAAAATTTACATAACTTCACTAGTATCAAAGTAAAAAAAGAGGGATTACAAATTTACTGACTAGATCACAATCAACAAATGCTATGAAAATAGCACTATATATATATAATGTGTTCCTTAACAAAAACAACTTTTCTCTTTTGACTTTTATGGAGAATACTTAAAGTAATATATTACTTACTACAGGTTTTAAACAGTAAAAACATTTATTCATTGATAAACATGATATTCTGTGAACCTCAGACAGCAATTTATTTTTCTATTGTAAATGTAATCACAAACTTTAGCATTCATCATAGTAAAACATGTACATTTTGGATAAAGTTTTCTAACAATATTGTTTCCTATTTTTAACACAAATTAAGTTATACGTAAAGACAATCATTATGAAAAACTTTAATAATATATTTCAGAACTGTAACAACATTAATGAATTATGCTACATCTGTTGGTAGTTAAGCACAAAGCTACACAGTTAACTATCTATGGCGTGGCCACCACGAGTATCGAATCCAGTTTTTAGCATTACAAGTCTACAGGCTTATCACCGAGCCACTGGGAGGCAAGTTATGCCAAGTTGTAGCAAAAAACTTTAGTCATAAAATAATAATGATGTCTTCAAACAAATCACAACTTACTTCTTGCAAAGATGGCGACTACATCGCACTAAAAGATGCATGCAATGAATAGCGAGTAACCCCATTAGTGGAATTCCCAAAGCTCCTACCTGTAAAACATGAACAATCATCACAAGGAAATCTGGCAAAATGTATTCATTTTAAAGTTTCTATGAAATTTTATATAGTTACAATACCACACATCACAATAGTCATGGTTTAAAAACTTAAGTTGTATATTACAAAACTTTTAGAAAAATAACAATAGATAAGTAAGAACACAGAGAAATGTACAATATCACACGTCACAACAGTCACTCTTCGAAAACTTTAGTTGTATATTATAAAACTTTTAGAAGAATAACAATAGATAAGTAAGAACACAGAGAAATGTACAATATCACACATCACAACAGTCACTCTTCGAAAACTTTAGTTGTATATTATAAAACTTTTAGAAGAATAACAATAGATAAGTAAGAACACAAAAAATGTACAGTATCATGCATCACAGCAGTCACTCTTCAACAACTTCAGTTGTATGTTATAAAACTTTCAGGAGACTAATGGTAAATGTGTGCGTGTGTTTTCTTACAGCAAAGCCACATCAAACTGCATGCTGTGTCCACCCTGATTTTAACATTGTAAATTTGAAGACTTACCACTGTCCCACCAGGTAACTCGTTAGTAAGAACAGCTTATTATCACATAACAGATCAGTTGTCATCAAAAGAATTACAGGTTACTAATTTTTTCCAAAACACATTTTGGATACTAATGTAAGAACAAGTGTAGCCTAATTAATAGGACTAAAATGCACCTAGTTCTAATAAGGCTGATGTGTATTCCTTAATTCTTGGCTAATTATTATTATATTTCTATTTTATGTACCCTTACGGTATCATTTAGTTGAACTGTCCTTTAAATTTATCCATTTGTAAATGTTCAAACAACATTATACAGCAAAATGTAACCATGATAGCTATGGCTAATCTTATGGTATTACAACATGTATTATTGTAAATGTTCTAACAACATTTGACACCAATATGTAACCATGATAAGTGTGGCCAATCGGTCGATATTACTACATGTATTACTGTAAATGTTCCAACAACATTAGACAACAATATGTATCCATGATATGTGTGGCTAATCTTACAGTATTACTACATGTATTATTGTAAATATTAAACACCAAAAAGTAACCATAGGTACTCCTGCTCTGTTTACTCAGTACACTACTGCTCTGTCTACCTAATACACCACTATTGTTTACCCACTACACTACTGCTCTGTTTACCTAATACACCACTATTGTTTACCCACAACACTATTGCTGTTTACCTAATACATCACTATGCTGTTTACCCAGTATGCCACTGCTCTGTTTACCCAGTACACCACTGCTCTGTTTACCTAATACATCACTATTCTGTTTACCCAGTACACCACTGCTGTTTACCCAGTACACCACTGCTTTGTTTGCCTAATACACCATTATTGTTTACCCAGTACACCACTGCTCTGTTTACCTAATACACCACTATTGTTTACCCAGTACACTACTGCTCTGTTTAACTAATACACAACTATTGTTTACCCAGTACACTACTGCTCTGTTTACCCAGTAAACCACAGCTCAGTTTACCCAATACACCACTGTTCTGTTTACCCAATACACCACTATTGTTTACCCAGTACACTACTGCTCTGTTTACCTGCTACATCACTATTCTGTTTATCCAGTACACTACTGCTCCGTTTACCATATATATCACTATTCTGTTTATCCAGTACACTACTGCTCTGTTTACCTTATATATATCACTATTCTGTTTATCCAGTACACTACTGCTCTGTTTACCTTATATATATCACTATCCTGTTTATCCAGTACACTAATGCTCTGTTTACCTTATATATATCACTATCCTGTTTATCCAGTACCACTGAAAGCTTTATATCAGAACATTTACTGTTGTCAGCATCCAAGCTCAAGTTTTAAATTCTCAGAAGCTAAATTCGTGGCAATTTTCATGGGTGATGTATGAAGACTTCAGTCTTTAATTTATTAGAAGGTTTTAGTGTTTCTAGCTTTATTAAAGATACAAAACCAAGATTTTCTAAATCATAAATATCATTTAGTTCCAGTTATTGCTACTCTATTTATCTTTCTTCTTAAAATGTTTATCCTTAATTTCAATCTCCAAACTAATGTTTGTTAATAAAATATAAATTATACTCTGTTTGTCCAATGGAAAAACTAATGAAATTTTTTAAACTGCAACATAATACAGGGTGTCACAAAATCAACATACCAAAAAGAAAGTTGAATAATGTTTTTATTATTTGAGATAACAACAAAATTCAAAACAAAAAGTCATCTGAAGGCTTGTAAGTTAATTTTATCTAATTAATGAACTTCTGCATGTCTTCCATTATTAGCTATAATCAATCTAATTCTGCATTCAAATTCTGAGAACGTATTTTCTAACACAGAATAAGACAACATCACAGATAAGAAGTTTCAGTTCCTCAAGATTCCTTGGTTTGCTATGGTAGACTGTTGTTTTCAAAAAGCCCCAAAGATAAAGGTCTAAAGGTGTGAATTTGAAGGAATCCTACAGGAGTTATCATTTTACTCAAAAACAGGATTATTTCTGAAATCTGCAATAAAACATGTTCAAAGTAATAATGATTAATAATGTAAGTAATAACAATAATAGTTAACTTCAACAAAACTTTGTTTTGAATTTGTTATCTCAAGTAATAACAAAAATTATTCATTTTTCTTCTTGATATATTCATTTTGGAAGACCCTGTATTTAATACAATAAAAGCAGTATTTTATTTTAACTACAAATAATTTTATGTACTATAACATCAGTAATCTTACAATAAGTCCTGAATTTGAAAAGCCACTAGGTAGTGCCAATATTCCTGGTCCAGTGTTGCCTTTTAGCAGATGCATTAAAGTTTCACAATTTCTAGAACAGAAAACAAGCACTGTGTTATAAAATTAGAAGTCATGTGATAAGTATGCATCAAAAAACTACAACACGCGAGGTGCAAGAGCTTACCTGTACCATATTATCCACATGAGGAGATATAAGCCACCTGTCTAATTAAATGGAAACATATTTAACACATAAAAACACCTGAAATAAGAACGGATAACATGTTAAAAATCAGCAGCAGAACCAGACAGGAATTCTCCAAAGTATAGCCTACAAATATTCATGAATAATGTAACTTTAATACAACAAAGGTAAAGTCAGAAACTGCTACATAGAAAAAGAACTCTCACTACAAGTGTAATTGGCTCATAGGAGACACTAACACCAAGCACTGTGTTGGCATTTAGATAAAATCTTAGTAACATCAAAAGGTTCATTTAGAAGAACTGTTTTCCTGAAAAACACATTAACAAGATAGTGAACAAGTATTTGTAAAAGGTGAACAACCCCATAGTATAGTTGTTCTAAACATCCTTTGGCTATTGTGTTACCTTTATGGATCCTTAAAGTTTCAAAATAAAGAGAATTATTTATAACGTTTTAAAAACATCATATCCATAAATATCATTGAAGGTAATATTTAAATCTAAAGAACTCATAAAGGACTTCTTCAAGGTGAAAGATACAATTCCAACACTATGGCAATCATACATTATTTACAAATTCACATTACCTGTTGTAAACAGGTATATATTTAGTTCCACAATATGTCACACAGCAGCACAAATTAAAAAAAAATCTTATACTGACAGAAGGAAACCAGTCCAGCATTTACCTAGACTGTAATATGTAACAGAAGAGGTAATGACACAGACTTCCACATTCTCTGTTCAGCAGAGAATGAAATCACTCTTTGGATAAAGGAGTCTTTACTGATCAGACAATTGAAACCAGAATTGAATGAAACTTCATCTTTTCCTTTATGTTTGAAGCCCACTAATACTACATCAAATACCATCACAAGGGATAGAAATGACATGCAGTAGTACAAATGTCTCAATTAAAAGGAAAGAGAAGTGTGACATAAGAAAAAAAAATTATGGTATATGCAATACAAAGAAGTACTGAAATATTGATATGCATGGTATTTCAAAATAATATTAAATTTTAGGTGATGCAGAGACAGCTAATATATTTGTCTACATGTATTTCTTTATTTAATTCACTTGATTCACTCATCTGAAACTTTTACAGCATTATACATATGTAAGATATGTCCCAATAGCCACTCTTGATGTCAGAAAAACATGCATGTTCAAGAAGACTGGATACAAGTGATAAAAACCCTATAACCCAAGCACTTTCAAAAGGTGGACCTTTCTTTTTCAGGGACAAACTGGGAATAGCAACTGATGCACATAAAACATAGCAATAAAAGAAAATTATATTACGTGGTTTTATGAGGAGGTCTCTTTTTCCGGGGTGATCCATCAGGCTGCTGAGTTTCTTCTTCTTCATCATCATCATCATCGTCATAAAAAAGTGGACGATTATCAAGTTCTCCTTCTGACATAGGGTATTCAAGAGGAGCAGCTCTTTTTGACACATATATTTCACTGTCAGAGGCGGTACACAGAGGTTCATTCCTGTTATCTTCATGCCCAATTCTCGATGGTATAGTCTTTATTTTCTAATTGAAGATCAGAAATGTTAGTAGAAAGATAACTCACCCAGTAAAACAAACTCAAAGCATTTAACTATAATAAAGTAATTAACTGATACATTAAATTTCTGTACGTTTGTTCTCTTTCAGCTGTTAATGCATTTTAAACACACACAACATTCAAGTAAAAGAAAGTATTTAAATGATGTATTAAATTCCTGTGTATTTATTATATCATCTGTTAGAGCAAACACACAACATTTAAGTAAAAAGTATTTAACTAATGTATTAAGTTCCTGTATAATTATTGTCACCTGTTAAAGCACACACAACATTCAAGTAAAAGAAAGTATTTAACAAATGTATTGAATTCCTGTGTATTTTTATATCACCTGTTAGAGCAAACACACAACATTGAAATAAAAGAAAGTATTTAACTGATGTATTGAATTCTCATGTATTTATTATATCACCTGTTAGAGCATACACACAAAATTCAAGTAAAACAAAATATTTAACTAATGTATTAAATTCCTGTGTATTTATTGTGTCACCTGTTAAAGAACACACAACATTCAAGTAAAAAAAAAATTATGTATTGAATTCCTGTGTATTTTTATGTCACCTGTTAGAGCAAACATACAAAATTCAAGTAAAACAAAGTATGTTTTAACTGGTGTATGAAATTCCTGTGTATTTTTATGTCACCAGTTAAAGCAAGCATACAAAATTCAAGTAAAACAAAGTATTTAACTGGTGTATGAAATTCCTGTGTATTTATTATGTCACATGTTAAAGCACACACAACACTCAAGTAAAAGAAAGTATTTAACTAATGTATTGAATTCCTGTGTATTTTTATGTCACCTGTTAGAGCAAACACACAACAAATAAGTAAAACAAAGTATTTAACTGACATATTAAATTGTATAGTTATTATGTCACCTGTTAGAGCAAACACACAACACTGAAGTAAAACAAAGTACTTAACTGATATATTAAATTGTATAGTTATTATGTCACCTGTTAGAGCAAACACACAACACTGAAGTAAAACAAAGTACTTAACTGATATATTAAATTGTATAGTTATTATGTCACCTGTTAGAGCAAACACACAACACTGAAGTAAAACAAAGTACTTAACTGATATATTAAATTGTATCGTTATTATGTCACCTGTTAGAGCAAACACACAACACTGAAGTAAAACAAAGTACTTAACTGATATATTAAATTGTATAGTTATTAAGTCACATGTTACAGCAAACACATAACACTGAAGTAAAACAAAGTACTTAACTGGTGTATTAAATCCTTGTGTATTTATTATGTCACCTCTTAGAGCAAACACATAACATTCAAGTAAAACAAGTACAAATAGTTTTGTATTGAGTTTAATACTTAAATATTAAAAGTAATATTTTATGACACGTTTCGGCTTTTACAGTAGGGAAGATTATTTTTTAGAACAATGCGATGTTTTGAGCATTGGCGCGATCATTCTCAATTACACAGGTTTTAATAGTAAAGAAGGTTTAAGTATTTAAATCAACATTCAACAATGTATTTAAATTTTAAAACTGATGGTTATTTATGCATATCAATCCACATGAATTCCATAAGATTAGAAATTTCTGGGGAAATAATGATCAAAGAGATATACAGACGTATCTGGGTCTTTGTTAACTGTGGGATTGTTTGGTTTTATTAATAAAGCTTGTATGATCTTTCTTCTATTATTTTCAGGCCAATGTTTTAGTACTGTGACATTCTATTCAGAAAAACTGTGTCCATTTTCATTTATATGCTCATGGAATTGTGAAGGGAGTTTTTGGTGTTCTTTTAACCTGTTCTTCAAGTTTCATCATGTTTCACAAATCTAAAAGGCTGGGAAACTGTTACACTTTATTCTGTAAATGTTTCCTGGTGAGGTTGGTTCATTATATAATTTTCTTAACGTGTTTAATTTTCATTCCAGGGGTAAAAATGAATCTAGGGATAGTGCAAGTGATTAGGTTTCCTTTGTTTTGTGGAGTATTTGAGTTTGCTTGTTAAATTCCACTTGTCTGTGTTTTTTTATTTCCTAATAGTTTCTGTAACTACTTTAGTGGGAAACTGGTTTATGTTAGTAAAGAATTGAGTTAAGAGCGCAACTTTTTTTTATCTATGTTTTCTGTGGTGCATATAGTGTAGGTTAATTTAGGAGGATTTTTAGATTGCTTAGCTTAGAGTGGATTACATGATTAGAAAACCAGTTTATATCATTTCTGCTGTGTGTGTCTTCTCTATGAATTTTAGTAATGAAGCCTTGGAAGGTTCATGTGATATTAACATTTCAAAAAATTATCGTGTAGTTATTTTAATTTTCAACTGTGAATTGTACATGTTTATGTAGGTTGATTATGTGTTGAAGAAATGATGTTTGTTCATCTTCACAAGTGAAGCTGCAAAAAACATCTACATATCTAAGATAAAATGCAAGCTTATATATGGAGATGATTATGGCATGTTGTTTTATGTGATGTAAGAAAAGAGTGACCAAAGTCCTTGTAGCTGAAAAAACTACAAATCTCTGTATTGAAAGCAAATAAATGTGGCTAGTTGTAGCAGTTTGATTAGGCATTCCTGTTTTATGTAAATTATCTTGAGGTATCGTGAAATAATTTCTGCAGTGAGTTGTATTGACTCATAACAAGGGGTTTGAGGGAATAGGTTCATCAAAGATACACATAATGACGTTACTGTCTAAACTATATAATTATTGTAGAAGGTGTGAAGATTTTTCTAAATGGGTGTTTAATTTTTAAATTCCAGTTAAAATATTTACCAAGGTTGTAATTTAGAATTATAAGAAGACATAATTTGGCATAAGGCTATTGGGCTTTCATGGACCTTTAGTAAGCCATACATTTTTGGTGTTTTTGGTTGGTTTGTATTTAAAAAAAATGATAAATTTTAAATGTAATATTTTTTTATTTTAATATTGTTTTGAGTAGTTTGCTCAATTTTTTTATTGTATGTCTGGTTAAGGTCAGTATTTGACTGAGTAAACTTAGATGTATCATTCAATTTATTTACCATTAAGGAATCATACTGTTTGGTTGGTAAAATCACAACTGAGTTTCTAGGACTTTTCTTTCTGCTGATGTCAAATTTTGTTTGCTAGGCTTCTTTTTGTTTAGTATTTTGGAACCTGACATTAACAGAAGAAAAATCAGGGAAGCATAATCTTTTGTAACTACTTTAATAGGTAATTAGTTCATGTTTCTAATTCATTGAGTTAGGTGTGCAAATTCAATGATATTTAGTAGGCTTTTGAAGTGTCATGCTTACTGATGCATGGCAATGGAAGGATAAATGTAAGATACATTACAACACACCATACTTACTGGTGCATGGCCTAAATGCTGCTGATATACATTCCTGGCAATAGATTCACTCAGTTTGTCAATGGCTGTGGTTGCAGCCTCTTCAACAAGCTTGAGGTCAGCTTGTATGTTACTCATTTGGCTTCTACAACCACCTATAACAACATAAACAATTTTTGTTCTTCCAGCATGAACTGCATTATACAGTACACAAACAACCAATGACAATTATAAGAAAATGCTTCTAAATTTCACACATAAAAAAATCATTATAGAGAATTAAGTATGGAGTAGCAGGTGCACTTTTATTTTATTTTTATCAAAACTCAAAAATGTTTTATTCTCATTGTTGTGGTTCTCAATAGGATATCATGGCTAAAAGTGAAATACTCCTTTGTTATTGAGACTTCTAAACAGAGATATAATTCTACAGGTATACTTCACTAGATTTTCAAGACTACGTTTTACAGATAGGTTGATCTTTTACATTCCTACAAATTCAGCTGTACATGGTTAAGCATTTCTTCATAGATCAAGTTCATCAAATCACATATTCTGGAAGCAATTTTTTCAATACAAGATAAAAGGGAACATTGTACTAAAAATTAATCTCCTTACCTCTTCCACACTCAACATAATAGATAGTAGAACCTGCTTACTCAAAGAACTATGCCACATATCTCTAATCAGAACCTGGTTGTCTCTAACCATTACACCAGACTTCTTTTACAACAATCTGCTTAACCTAAGGACTACACCACATTTAAACACTTTAAACTGAAAACTACACCACATTTCTCTTACCATAATCTCCTTAGCATAACAACTACAGAATATTTCTCTTACTATAATCTAGTTAACCTAAGGTATATACATTTCTCTTTCTTTAATCTGCTTCACCTAATGACTACACCACAGTTCTCTGACCATAATCTACTTAACCTAACAACTACACCCGATTTCTGTTACCATAATCTGCTTAACCTATCGACAACACCACATTTCTGTTACCATAATCTGCTTAACCTAAACACTACACCACACTTCTCTCACCATAATCTGCTTAACCTAACAACTACACCACACTTCTCTCACCATAATCTGCTTAACTTAAACACTACACCACACTTCTCTCACCATAATCTGCTTAACCTAACAACTTCACCTGATTTCTGTTACCATAATCTGCTTAACCTATCAACAACACCACATTTCTCTTACCATAACCTGCTTGGCCTAATGACTACACCATGTTTCTTTTACCATAATCTGCTGAACCTAAGGACTACAACACATTTCTTTACCATAATCACCATAACCTATGGACTACACCACAATTCTCTTACCATAATGTAATTAACTTAATGACTACACCATATTTCTCTTACAACAATCTAATTAACTTAATGATTACACAACATTTCTCTTACCACAATCTAATTAACCTAATGACTACACCATATTCCTCTTACCATAATCTACTTGACCTAACAACTACACCCGATTCCTGTTACCATAATCTGCTTAACAACTACACCACAATCTACTTAACCTAATGACTACACCATATTTCTCTTACCATAATCTACATGACCTAACAACTACACCCGATTTCTGTTACCATAATCTGCTTAACCTATCGAAAACATCACATTTCTCTTACCATAATATACTTAACCCAATGACTACACCATATTTCTCTTACCATAATCTGCTTAACCTATCGACAACACCACATTTCTCTTACCATAATCTGCTTGGCCTAATGACTACACCATGTTTCTTTTACCATAATCTGCTTAACCTAAGAACTACAACACATTTTTTTTACCATACTCACCATAACCTATGGACTACACCACATTTCTCTTACCATCATCACCATAACCTATGGACTACACCACATTTCTCTCACCATAATTAACATAACATATCGACTACACCACATTTCTCCTACAATAATCACCATAACCTATGGACTACACCACATTTCTCTTACCATAATCACCATAACCTATGGATTACACCAAATTACTCTTATCATAATCTGCTTAACCTAAGGAGTACACCACATTTCTCTTTCTATAATCTGCTTCACCTAAAGACTACACCATATTTCTCTTACCATAATCTGCTTAAATTAGTGACCACACCACACTTCTCTTATGGTAATTTGGTTAACCTAAGTACTAGACATTTCTGTTAATATAACATGGCTAGCTATGAGCATTATGTTTTCTTAGCAGATCTTAACTCTAGGCTCTTACCAAACTAATTAGTTCTTAGGCACTGAACATTAACCAGAATTTTGTTAGCTCTAAGCACTATCTCACATTTCTTTTAGCAGAGCCTGGTTAGCCTGAAGCACTACATCAGATAATCAATAATTTCAAACTTTAGTTTATAAAAACACTTCTCAGAGTAATAAAGGACAGAAGAAACATTTGCTTGTAATAATCAAATGATACAAAAATTCAAAATTAACACGTAAATTCTTATCAGAAATTATACAATGTAGTGACTTTATAGCCTTGAAAAAATTAATAAGATTTTAAACATACCGTATAATATAATGCAATCTGATGTTAATTTAGTTAAATATTAACCTTAATCCCAGAACATTACCAAAGGAACATAAAATCCAAAGAGAAAATTCAAAACTTCAAAATTATCTTATTAAAATCATGAAAGATTTTGCCGAAAAAAAAGGTCATTTGAAACCAACGAATGCAATGGTATTTAAAAAAATAAAATAAAAAATAACTAATGAATTTGATGTAAGAAAATTTAGTATCTGACAAGTTACCAAACTTTCAAATATTACATCTTTGCTTCATGTACAAATGTGTAACAACTTTGTTACATGTATAGATATGTAACAATTTTGTTACATGAAAATGTGCACCATGTATAGATGTAAAACAAATACAGTATGGACTACTATTTTTCTGTGTTTAGTGGAACTCTTGTTTTTTCACTTTTGCATGAATAAACCCTTCAATAAATTTTAAGTTATCATAAAACAACCCTTCCATCCGTAGAATCATCCTAGTAGCTTTTCTCTGAACCATTTCCAATAATTCCACATCCTTTATTAGATTAGAAGACCAAACATGTACTCAATATTCCAAGTGAATCTGGCCAGTGAGTTGTTGTATGGAAAGTAATTACCCCTTCTGACTTGTAATCAGTATGTCGATGTTAATAGATTCAATAAAAATAATAATAATAGAGTAGTGCCCTGATTCCTTCAACAACTAATCTACCACTATGCCATGATCCTTTTCTTCAGTTGTGCTCTGAAGTGGTTCCCATCAATATTAAATGTTTGACCCACAATATGATAACCACATTTATAATCAAGATCATTTGGCAATTATTCATCCTACTTGGCAATCAATTCAACTCAGTACAGCTAAAAATACACGAGGTTAATCTTATCAGTTGGCATTACTGATGTGGGAACATAATGTACTAATGTTATTAATCAAAGGATTAATATATACTTCAGATTGTAATTATTATTATTTTGTTTTGTTGTAAATTTGGGAGATTAACATATCTAGCTTAAGCTGGTCAAACATTATGAGATATTATCTGGATTGTGTTCAAAAATAATGTTAATAGTAAAGGTATACAACCAACTGACTTTTTTTTATCAGTATAAGCTTGTTTGGTATTTATTATTGACTTATGATATTGTTTGTAAACTTCTCAAGTCAGTTTTTCACACACACACACACACAAAAGAGTCTTAATTAATGTGAATGTCACCTTTTAAGCTTTTAGACCTAATCTATATAAAACAATAATAAAAGACTACAGGATGAGCCAACACAAGTTTAGGATTTGAAAAAGATAGCCTAGACTCCAAAATATTATTTTTCTGACAATATGATTAGCTTATGGAAGAAGTTGCTCAACTTGTTGTCACCACTAAAGAAGACCAGCACCTTACAGAAGTTTAGGAGGGTAAATTACTAAAAAATAAATTTTTACTTTTCCTCTGAGGTAGGTATGCAAGCACTGCATTGTTCTCTATATTAAATAATACTTTGCTGTTTCACACCTTACATGCCCTTATGAATTACTTTCAATAGCTGACAAATTATCTCAACATGTTGATTTTAAAGTAGAATTCTTCCAGGACATTATTTTGAATCTTCTACATATATTTTCACGTGTAAATTATTATCATGTAATGCAATTGAATAAAATCATGTCAATGTACTGGAACTTGTTTAGAACACAAGAACATACTTTAACAAGCAAGGTGACCATCATTTAGTATGAGGTCATCTTTCACCCAATTGCCTTATTCAGGTAAAGAGCCCAAAACTTAATACAATACCCCAGAAATCAACTCTGGCCTAACCTGAGATCTGTACAAACAAAACACAATAACCTCATTTGACTTGTATTCAATACTTCTGTTGATTAAATCCCAAATCCTATTTGTTTTCCCACTGGAAGAGTTCATATACTTTGTGTATACAGATGGAGGGAATTATTCTTTTATTCTATTAAATACTAAGTAGAAATGAACCAAGCCAGCATGTAAGATTCAAAGTTAATTTTAGAGAGATGAAGTTAGAAATTAGTTTCCAAATTTTTTAATGGTGCTTTTTCAAAGGAAGATGTTTTTAACAATGCAAGCAGAAGAAAAATTAGTTTTTTGATACGATTTTCATTTTGCATTATGGATTTATGTTATGGCTATATATATGAATAACTTTTGATCGTTTGTTGACATGCACAATTTGTTCAACACTAAAAAATTTTTTAAATCCTTAAGAATTTCACCCAAATACATCAATATTTTATCTATATTTTGAAATGAATAAATCATCACCCAATACTCGCTAACCTACTACTGCCAGTGAAACAGCTTGTCAGTGTCACCGTTCAAGATATGCATTGCACGCTGAAACCTTTCTAAAGTATTGTGTATCCGATAAAAAGCAAACAAAAAATATACAAAACATATTTCTTCCGCGAAATGTTCTTGCACGAATTATGTAGTTTGATAGCCCCATTAATGAGCGACGTAGTGGATATTCATTAACAGTTCTAACTAATAATATACCACTAAATCTTAATACGAAGTAATGTTTTATATATTTAACTAAACCTAAACAAAAATGCAGCTGTATAA